TTGTATAGTTATCTTCTTTTGGGGTTGTTGGAAGATTACTTCCTTGCTTTTTCTAGGTTGTAGTTTCCCTCCTAGTGTTGGCGTTTTCCATCAATTATCCTTTGAAGTGCTGGGTTTGTGGGAAGATATTGTGCAAATTTGGTTTTGTCATGGAATATCTTGGTTTCACCATCTATAGTAATTGAGAGTTTTGCTGGGTATAGTAATCTGGGCTGGCAATTGTGTTCTCTTAGGGTCTGTATGATGTCAGTCCACGCTCTTCTGGCTTTTATAGTCTCTGGTGAGAAGTCTGGTGTTATTCTTATAGATCTGCCTTTATATGTTACTTGACCTTTTTCCCTTACTGCTTTTAGTATTTTTTCTTTGTTTTGTGCATCTGATGTTTTGATTATTATGTGACGGGAGGTATTTCTTTTCTGGTCTAGTCTTATTTGGTGTTCTATAGGCTTCTTGAATGTTTATGGGCATCTTGTTCTTTAGGTTAGGGAAGTTTTCCTCAATAATTTTGTTGAAGATATTTACTGGCCCTTTAAGTTGGGAATCTTCATTCTCATCTATGCCTATTATCCTTAGGTTTGGTCTTCTCATTGTGTCCTGGATTTCCTGGATGTTTTGAGTTAGGAGTTTTTTGCATTTTGCATTTTCTTTAACAACTGTGTCAATATTTTCCACTGTATCTTCTGCATTTGAGATTCTCTCTTCTATCTCTTGCATTTGGTTGGTGATGCTTGCGTCTGTGACTCCTGATCTCTTTCTTAGGTTTTCTATCTCCATGGTTGTCTCCCTTTGAACTTTCTTTATTGTTTCTATTTCCCGTTTCAGATCCTGAATGTTTTTGTTTAATTCCTTCTTTGTGTTTTCTTGCATTTCTTTAAGGGATTTCTGTGATTCCTCTTTAAGGGCTTCTATCTGTTTACTTGTACTCTCCTGTATTTCTTTAAGGGAGTTACTTAATTCCTTCTTATAATCCTCATCATCATCATGAGAAGTGATTTTAATTCTGAATCCTGCTTTTCAGGTGTGATGGGGTGTTCAGGGCTTGCTATATTGGGAGAACTGGGTACTGATGATGCCAAGAAACTTTGGTTTCCGTTGCTTATGTTCTTGCGCTTGCCTTTCGCCATCTGGTTAACTCTAGTGGTACCTGCCCTCACTGTGTAAGAGTGGAGTCTGTATTTCCAGTTATCTTGCTTATTGCAGAGCTCCTCAGTGTCCAGATGTCTCTGTGGTCTTATGCTCCTAATCTCCTGGGTGGAAGAACTCCTGGGACTGAGGCCACCTCTTGGATCTGGAAATCCTTCTGCTCTGAGTGCAGTGGCTCCTCGATGACTCAGGATTCAGTTTCTCCACAGGACAGGAGCAGACCGACTGTGTGTCTGCTCCAGCCCAAAGGACCAGGCAGGGGCGGAAGGGAAGTGGAATTCCGGAGGGGCCGGTTTGGGTAGCTGCTGTGCCCTGAATGTCCCTGGCTCGCAGATGTATCTCTGGGGCTTAGGGAGTGAGATCGAGTTCTTACTGGCTGCTCTGAGTACAGTGGCTCTTCTAGGATGACTCGGAATTCAGTGTTTCCACAGGACAGGAGCAGACCGATTCTGTGTCTGTCCTAGCCCAAAGGACCAGGCAGGGGCGGAAGGGAAGTGGAATTCCGGAGGGGCGTGGTTTGGGTAGCTGCTGTGTCCTGAATGTCCCTGGCTCCCAGATGTATCTCTGGGGCTTAGGGAGTGAGATGGAGTTCTTACCAGCTGCTCTGAGTGCAGTGGCTCCTCGATGACTGAGGATTCAGTTTCTCCACAGAACAGGAGCAGACCAACTCTGTGTCTGCTCCAGCCCAAAGGACCAGGCAGGGCGCCAATTTTCTTTTTTAAGGAAAAGTCTATTCATTGATTTTAATCAGTCTAACAGCTCATTTCCCCAACTGGTATTTTAGAATATCTGTCTCATTGAGAAAAGAATAGTCAGTATATAAGTATAAGGTACTGGTTTTTAAATTTATTTCTACTAAACAATAAATACATAATAAATAAATCTACAGTTTATTTCTACTAAAAATAAAAAACAGCAATATTTCTTTTGCTTTGTTTTAAATGGTTTTAGACTTTTTTTTAATTTGAAAATAGTACAGATATAAATATTAATGAGAACATAGCTTCTATTTGAATAATAATCCTAGTGTAGAAGTTTTAACACATTCTTTTAAAAAAAATACTCTTTATAGGCTATTGTGTTGGTTTAGTGGGTAAAATCACTTGCCACCAGGCTTGATGTTTGAGTTTAATCCCTAAGACGCACATGGTAGGAAATAATTGACTCCTAAATCTTATGCTGTGAACTCCTCAGTTGTTCTTTGGCGCATGTTTCCCTCTACTTCCGCCCTAATAAGTGACATTTTCTCTTTCCCCTTTTTAAAAAATAAAGCATTTTAAAGGATGTAGCGTATATAAAATCTTAAAAAGTAGTACAAGATGAGCTATATTAAGAAAGAGACCGTACTGCCATGTACGAGATGCTTTAGACTGCCTTCACAATCTAAACGAAGAATTGCCCCCAAAATAAACACACAAGAACAATAGTCAAGGTCTGGCCTTTTAGGGGTTCAGATTTGGAATTGTTACTATTTTTTAAGGAAAAGAAAAATTTAATGTGACTTCTTTTGCTAATGGCTTTTTGTATGGTTAGTATTAAATTTTATGCTTTGTTTTTGTTACCAGAATTTTTAAAAAGATAGGCTACTAATGCATCATCTCAAACAAGATAATAATTTAGAAAGTCATTTTGGCAACCTTGGGAATAGTCTTAAATATCTAATTGGACATTTTCACCTACAGAATTAAGTTACCAACTATTTTTAAATTATAATATATGAATACATCCTGATTCTGAAAGTAATACATGAGTATTGTTGAAAATATTGATATCCAAAGGAGAAAAGTCCCACAAAACCTAAAAGCAAATAATATCTCTAGTTTCTTTGGAAAAATAGGTAAACCATGGGCTAAAAGCTTGCTCCCTGGATTAAAACCTGTCTTCTCTGAATTATTATTTCTTAAGTTATTTATACTTTTATTACTTGAAGGGACCATCTGTAAAATGGTTTTAGCATCCTACTTGCTAAGGAGTTATAGATATCAAATCAGTTTTAATTATAAAGTGACCCATAAAGTTTCATATATTGCTGCTGCTGCTTCTGCTGCTGTCTTATTCCTGGAATACTTCTGTTTTTAAAATCTTGTCGTTAAATATTCTGACAAAATTGGAAATATTTATTTACTTGTTAGTCTTATTTTAGATAGAGAATCACTATAAAGCCCTCATTGGACTAGAATTTTCTGTTTTTTGTTTTGTTTTGTTTTTGTTTGTTTTTTGAGACAGAGTTTTTCTGTATAACCCTGGCTATCCTGGAACTCACTCTGTAGACAAGGCTGGCCTTGAACTCAGAAATCTATTTGCCTTTGCCTCCCAAGTGTTGGGATTAAAGGCATGTAACACCACTGCTAGAATTTTCTATGTAGACATAACTACACTAAACCCACTGAGTTTGAGTACTGGGATCAAATGCATGTTCTACCATATATAGAAAGCCTGGAATATTTAAAAATTACTAGAATGATAATACTTGCAACCGCAAACTTAGAGTTAATGTTAGGGAGTTAATTTAAGCACTTATTAGTTTATTTGATACTATATTATCATGCTTATTTTACATTTCAAACCAAGACAAAAAAGATAAAAAAATATTTTTTAGTGATCACAATAAAACTGGAAACAGAATTGGGGGAAAAAGGTAGAGACTGTATGCTGTCTTGAATACCAACAGGCCTTTGAATCAATAATTAACAAGTTTTCTTAGCAAGTTGAGAACTGGGAGAAAGCACAGAAATAACAGTATATTGTGTTGCGACCAAATTTGAGCTAAGATAATCATGAAAATTCAAGTGTTCAACATTATTCTGTTTTAGAACAGGTTTCCAGCTAATACTGTTCTTGGTATGTTTTCTCCATTTTCAAGGTTAACTTTATATATTTGGCTGTAAAGTATCAGATCTACCTATTGATCTTTTGGGAACATAAAATTACGAATTTTTAAAGATCTATAGTTTTGAAGGATAATAAGTTATTCATGCTCCTTAGACTTGATATATTTTTAGGCATTTGCCATCTTATAGAAGGAAGAATATTAGCTCTGTTTCATTAGTACATTAGAAAATAGGATTGATTTATTAAGGCTTAGTAATTAAATGTTAATATTTAGTGGTATTTGGAACTTGAAACTAAATATCTTATATGTTCACCAACAAAATACTGCCATCAAGGAAATTTTCAGTAAATACTGACCTGAAAATTAGTAACGTGAACTGAGAAGGGAGATCAACTTACAAGAAGAGTTTAATCTGCAGGAGTCTGTTATAGAAAAGAAAATTTGAGTGGGCATTGTAGTCCTGATGCTAGGTAGGCAGGTACTAGCAGAGATTCCAGGGCCTATCAGACAGCACAGCTTATCATGATATGCAGTCTTCCAGGCCAAAGAGAGATCCTATCCTGATAAATAAGGTGAACAGGTCCTGAGGAATACCATCTTAGGTAGAAGGAGACATGTGAATATTCATACATGAGGACATACCAATGAGTTAAAGAAGAGCAAGATAGAGATCCATTACAAAATAAACTCATAGGCCCTTAGACCCCTAAAGAAGATGATATACAGGACATCATTTCAATCATCAACCCCATCCTGCTGCCGACAACGTTTTGGCTATATCCCTTACTAAGAAATACATAGCTTCTTAAACACAATACAGACTTGTGTGTTGAAATAAGCCTTCCCCAAAACAGTAAATCAGTTTGCCTCTTTTTTTTTTCCCTTTCAGAAACAAAATTCATTGTTTTGTTTCCGTATTATTTTGTTATTGCTACTCCTTATTTTCTTCCACTTACTTATATCTTACTTTTCCTTACTTTTTCCTGTTCTCAACTGTTCTCTTTCTTATATTTTCAATCAACAGCTAGAGATGATTGCTATGGAAAATCCTGCAGACTTGAAGAAGCAGCTGTATGTGGAATTTGAAGGAGAACAAGGAGTAGATGAGGGAGGCGTTTCCAAAGAGTTTTTTCAGTTGGTTGTGGAGGAAATCTTTAATCCTGATATTGGTAAATATTAATGATATGATTATGATGGTGTGTTAGCCTTTTGAATTAGAATTTGAACTTGGTTTATAAATACTATTAGTTACAATAAGCTGTAAACGAATTGGGTTCTTCCATAGATTACTTAGCCAAATGCTCTAGTAGAAAACAGTTACCTTCTCGGTAAATTTAATTTGAAAAACCTTAGAATGGTGGATTTGGAAAACCTGAAGTCATGAGAATCATGGGTTATATAATTCATCCTCTTTTAATCTATAGCTCAATGCTCTTGAGACCAGGAGCATCCATTGATGACATTTAATCAGATTTATTATTTGTGAACTGGAAGTTTTGATACTCCATGGATCTTTAATATGGCTTCCAAATAAATAAATATACATACATACATGATTTACATATTTTTCAAACTGGAACACAAGTATGCATTGGATACTTGTGAAACAAGTATTCCACAAATACTAAATTGCAAGAAAAAGCCTAGACTTAATTTATATTCCTAAAGTTCAAGGAGAAAAGTGTGCTTTTCTTTTTTATTAAAACTGAAAATGAAAATGAGGAAACATTTTAAAATATTTTCAAAATTCTTATAAAATTAACCTAAATTTACATTTTAATACTGTTTTTTATTTTTTAATACTCCTGTTCCATTACAAAAATATTTTCCAAAGCTTTTTTGATTTGCTTATTTTGGTTTTGGCTTTTTAAACAATCTCTTTACATTTTATTAGTACTATGGCCTTAAACTCTTGATTTTCCTTACTCATTTTACCAAGTTCTAAGTTATTCAGTCCTTTCTCCCCCAGCATGTTAGACTTTGTTTAAAAAGTGTTTCCTGAGAAGCAACTGAAAATAAACCTAGAAAAGTTAAAAGGCATATAAAGTTTGTTTTAATTTAATTTTGATGTTCAGTAAAAATAAAGAAGGCAAATCTCTTAATGCTCACATAGATAAAATAATGATGATAGAAAAAATCTCTCTTGAGTTTGGCTTTGAATAATGAAGATCATGTGAAGCTGAAAATATTTTAAAAAATTATATTAGCTCAGATTTAATATGAATTTTAAGTAGCTTAATCAACTTTCTCCAATTTTTTGTACTTAAATGCATTTGCTTCATACATAATTTTCAGTCATTAAATGGATGAAATGACCTTAAGATGACCTTTCATTAGTCAGTGAAGAATGATAAACCTTCAATTTAATAAAATTATAGAAAAAACTTTACAGAAATATCACCCACATTTTGATTTGATTTTGTTGTGTTGGATTTTCCATATTGCATGGCATGAATCAACACATTTATGATGATCAAATACCATTTTTGTACAGTTTTCTCACATATATGAAGTAGAAAAGAATTAAATTCTGTATGTGATTTTGTTTAAAATTCTAATTAAATTCTTAGTCTTTCAAATAGTATAAATTATATTTTAATTATTTCTCTATAGGTATGTTCACATATGATGAAGCTACAAAATTATTTTGGTTTAATCCGTCTTCTTTTGAAACTGAGGGTCAGTTTACTCTTATTGGCATAGTCCTGGGACTGGCTATTTACAATAACTGTATACTGGATGTCCATTTTCCCATGGTTGTGTACAGGAAGCTAATGGGGAAAAAAGGAACCTTTTGTGACCTGGGAGACTCTCACCCAGTAAGTTTTTTGTCCTTTGTTAATAGTCTTTAAGATTGTATCTATATACAGAAGTATATCTTAATTTATATAAAAACATGATTTAATTTGTAAACTTTTGTTGATACTGCTATCTAGTACAGTAAAATGCTTTTAATCTGCTTAGGTATAATAAACACTCATATTTTTTTTCGTTTTGTTTTGTTTTTTTGAGACAAGGTTTCTATGTATAGCTCTGGCTGTCCTGGAACTCACTCTGTAGACCAGGCTGGCCTCGAACTCAGAAATCTGCCTGCCTCTGCCTCCCAAGTGCTGGGATTAAAGGTGTGTGCCACCACTGCCTGGCTATAATTTTTTATATATTACATCAAGTATGTTTTGATTGACCCCATAAAAAATGTTGTAAACATCATGCTTTCAATGTCACATATGAGTCTGTGTAGTAAAATGATCATTGCCTGGCCGCTGATAGGTACAGTTGATATGTGTGTGGTTTTTGTTGTTGTTTGTTTTTTGTTTTGTTTTGTTTTTCCTCTTTTCCTGTGCCATGCCACCAGCATGGAGACACATTGTATGTTCTAGAGCGTGGTATGAAATCTGTTGCTGAACTGATGATTTGAAGAATTTTCAAGTAACTTGTGACAGCCTTTCTCTATCTTAGTAAACTACTTGAGAGATGCAGAATGTTTATGGCTTCATTTTTGTTGACAAGTTGTTTCTACAAATAATGAGTAATCTCTTATTTTTATTTGTTTTAGTAGTTATTTGGTGACCTCACTTCTCTTTCTGGTTGTTAGGTTTTATATCAGAGTTTAAAGGATTTATTGGAATATGAAGGGAATGTGGAAGATGATATGATGATCACTTTCCAGATATCACAGACAGATCTTTTTGGTAACCCAATGATGTATGATCTAAAAGAAAATGGTGATAAAATTCCAATTACAAATGAAAACAGGAAGGTAATACAATTTTTGTCATTGTTTTTATAAATATATAATTTCAAAGTAGTATTTTTACAAAGTTTTCAAAGAATCATCTAATATGATTTGAAGCAGTAACAAAAGCTTTACATAAACAAATTTATCTAAATAGTAAAGCTACAGTTTCCTAACTCTTAGATAAGAGCTTATGAGATTGTACACAGTTAATTGTTAATTCTCCTTTAGAGAAAGACTAAATAGACTAGCAAAGAATGAATGGGTAAATATTACTGTAGTGTAATGCTAGAAGCAGGGTCTTAAACCTAGGAGGTATACAGAGCCCAGTGATTGAGATCTGAGTTACTGTGTATACGCATTTTCCTTCCATTTGAAGTCTAATTATACATACGAAATTGTTCACATCAGATTTGATTTCTCTTTAAAAGGTATTTATTTGGCAACAGAAAATAACTGTGAGCATAATAAGGAAGTTACAGTAAATAGTATAATTTTAAGAAATATATTAATTTATACTATTATTTTTTTGTGAAATAGTATACTATCATGATACAGACTACATTTTTATAATTTGATATAGTAGCTTAATTTACCAACAAATACCATATTTGCTAAACTGGATACAGTAGCTAGCTTACCAATACCAAAATTTCCAGAGGAAACCTGAGACATTCTGGTTTGCTCAAATTCAGTATTCATAACTTAAATTTATATTGCATGCTAGAGGTTCTGTTGTTATATAAGTCCTTTGTAATCTTTTATTTTAATCTTACTATTATTTACATTATTATATTATTGTTACATTATTACATTATTGCTATTAATTAGTTTATATTAATTTTTCTTTAATTTACTCTCAGAATCATAATGTATAACTATTTTATGCATATGACTTACAGATTTAATACCTGTCAGAAGTGAGAAATTGAAAATAATTTTATTTGTACATATTACATTTTATTAATTTTTTAAGTCTTATGTTTATCATATATGTATGAGTGCTTTGTCTGTATATGTTGGTCTACTATTTGCATATATTGCTCATGGAGTCCAGAAAAGAGTATTTAGTCCTCTGGAATCAGAATTATAAATGGTTGTTAGCTGCTGGAAGTTGAACTTACATCTTTTCCAAGAGTTGCTAATGCTCTTCTGCACTGAACCAACTCTCCATAATCTATTTGTTAAACATATTAACAAAAAATTCTGCTAAAGGTTTTCTTGGGGTGGAGGGTAGATATTAAAACTATGTAGCCCAGTAGGAAATTGTGTTTCATCTGTATAGCATATGATCTCTTGTTGGTACTCCTACAGGAATTTGTCAATCTCTATTCAGACTACATTCTCAATAAATCTGTAGAAAAACAATTCAAGGCATTTCGCAGAGGTTTTCATATGGTGACTAATGAATCGCCCTTAAAATACTTATTCAGACCAGAAGAAATTGAATTGCTTATATGTGGAAGCCGGGTAAGAAAGACATTTCAAAAAAGGTCATAATTTATATTTTTATTTTTTAGTGGTGTACTATAGATGTTAAAGTCCATTTTTTTTTCTATAATTTTCAGAACCTAGATTTCCAGGCACTGGAAGAAACTACAGAGTATGATGGTGGCTATACGAGAGAATCTGTTGTGATTAGGTGAGGTGTTTAATTCTTAAAAAGGAAGATTTTTTTCATCAAAGAAATGTATGTGTGTTTTTGTGTCATGTATTGGTAGGCTCTGGTTACCAAACAGATAAACTCAAAAAAAGACCTATATTAATATTACCAATTTTCATATAGTCTAATGCTGTATTTCATGAATTAAATGATTTAAGTATCATTTTCTCTTGCCTTTGTTTACTTTTGGTAATGTATAAAATGACACATTATTTAGTCCTTAAGATACTTGGGAAGAACCATGTGTACTAGTGATTCTGAACAATTCTTAGGACAGTATTACTACTAATATCGTTCTCTAGTCAAATGCCCTTGTTTCTACTTCTTTGTAATATGCTACTATCCAATTCTGAAAGTTTTTTTTCCCTATATTCTAGTATGAATGGTCAAAATGATAGAGATGTCCTTTTGGCATCCACTATGATGTCAGAGGCATTTAAACATATCTTTCTGGTATAAGGCTCAAGTACATGAACAATATAATGAATATTAACAACGATAATGATACATTATAGTTGTTATATTACAGTATTTTATTATGAATTTAAATTTGTAGAAGATTACTCTTGCTTTGCTCTTTCTAACACCAATCAGAAAAGTGTTTTCTCATGGCAACCATTATATTGCTGCTCAGTTTTAAAGGTGATACATAACAGGGATCAACATGGTAATAGGAAAGCCTTAATGGGAGTATCCTAGCATTATCTCTACAATATGGCAAAGTAATGTTTTAGGTTAATGTATGCCATTTGCTTATTTATTAACCTATTATTAGAGGCAATAGGATTATCATGAGATTGGAGCTACTACAAATAAAATTTTCATTCTTACTGTTGATTGTTTTCATTTCTCTTGAAGAAGCACTTTTAAGTGCAGGATTGTGGTTGTATAGTAAATAATATTTTTAACTTTAAGAAGCACTTCAAGAGTGCTTTTGTAAAACAGTACTGCCATGTTACCCTAAGATTACCAACAGTGCTAGAACTCAGTTCTACATCTTTAGTCATGTTGTCTTGGAATGTGAAATAAAATTTCATCTTAGTTTAACTTTGCTTATCACTGATGACTCATGATCTTGAGCTGGCTTTAAGTATTTATCTTTTTAACCATTACTTTGTTAATTATCTTCCTCACTTTTCTTTCCACTGATTGTGAACTATTTCTTTTAAGGATATATTCTTTTTAAAGGCTCATTTGCAAACATGTTATACATGTGTTATTCTAGACTGCAGCTTTCTTTCCCCCACTGAATTTTATTTTATTTCTGCTGAAATTGAGTTTTGTGTGAGTTACTTCTAGACGTGGATCTTATCTGCCTATTCATTTGTTCTTTGATTCAAATCACACGTTGATGATTCCTTTACCTTTACAGAAGAACAAGTCTTTATATCAGATGGTGTGAACATCTTTATTTTTTCATTGTTCTCAATGTTTTCACTAATTTTACTTCCATATAAATATTAATATCTGTTTGTTGAATTTTAAATGGATTAAGTTTCTTTTTGAGGTTTTGATTTGGGTTGAAGTGATAGAATAAATCAATTTGAGAATTTTCATTTTCGTCAGTTTGGATTCTCTAAATCTCAAGTATGACATAGAACTTTCCATTTAGTTATCCCATAGTTTAGTTTTATAATTTAAATGTTGAAATGATGTATGCTTTAGTTTGAATAAATTTAAACATTATGTTTCTTATGCATTGTTTCATCTTTCATTTCTGAGACCAAGCTTATAGTTACTTCTATTGCTTTAAAAGCCTTGTCAGAAAATTCAAAAAATTTTTTAATCTTTGTTGGCATCAATTGTTTTAATTTCCTTGTTCGTAGTATGATAGTTTTCTGTTTTTATTTTTTTGAGGGCTTTGTTAAAATGGATCTTTTTCCATATATATATAATGTTTAACCTCTACCTCCCCTTCCATCTGGATCCTTGAAATTTCTGTCTCTTGTAAGAAACCAAACAAGCATCTAAGGAATGATAAATTAAGATAAACAAACATCAAACAAATTGGGATGATACAACAGCCAAACATGGAAAAATGCCAAAGAAAAAAGTTACAAGAAAGTACTATAGATGTAGAGACACACATTTGCATACTAGAGAATCTCATAAAAATGCAAAACTTGGAAAAATTAGAAGCTGTAATACATAATCAGAGGACATAAGGTATGGAGGAAGAAACACCAGGACTTAACATTGTGAAACAAGAACCTCTGTAGATGCCATTGAGTTAGTTTACTGTTGGGCCATGGGCCCCATACCTAAAAGTTGCATGTTTCTCCAGTGAGACTTGCTTATAGAAAACTAATTTTTCGTTTACAAGTGTCTATGAATTGGAGATGGCCTCTGCATTAGGGATGGGTGTACATGTGCACTTTTTGCCTCTAGCACCACATCTGGTGCAGACCAATGCAGGCTCTTTTCATGTTGGTACAGTCTCTGTGAGTTCATATGCGCAATATCCCTGTTGTGTCAAAAAGGCCTTGATTCCTTAGTGTGGTCTTCCGCCCTCTATTCTTATATTATTCCTTCCTTTTCCACAGAGTTCTTGGAGCCTAGAAGGGAGGTACTCTCAGTCTCTGCATATTTTGTGGCTGTGGGGTTCTTTATTTTTTCCATCTGCTTCAGGAAGAAGCTCTCTGATGGTGGCTGAGCAGGGCACAGCTCTATAAATGTAGCAGGATGTTTTTGTAGTCATTTTATTGTTACATTTCATTAAAAAACAGTATTTGGTTTGCCTCTGAGTTCCTCCACTATCTGGTCTCAGTTTCTTAGCCCTTCAAGGAAAGTTAGATATAAGTTAGCTTATGGAGTGGGTCTTAACTCAAATTGGCTGTTGGTTGGTTACTCCCACCAGCTTTGTTCCAATATTGCACTAGCTTATCTTGCAAACAGATCTCTCTCATAGATCAAAGGATTTGTAGGTGGATTGATGTGCTTTTTTCCTTTGGTATCTTTCTATTTTAGGTTTTTAAAAGATTGTAAAATTGTTTATATTCTCCCTTGTGTATATTTTTGAGATTAGCTCTAGTTTCTTTGTATTTGTTATAATTTTTAAACTTTATTTCTAATTGCAACTTACTTCTGTCACATTTTTTCAAGGTTCCTCTCTTGTTAACGTTTTCTAAACATTTCATTTCTGAACTAGTTGTTGTTTTTTAGCCTGTTATAAATTTTGGGTTTTACTGTGTAGTTCTAATTTTCATGTCTTTATATTTTTTATCTCTTGTTGATATTTACAAAGTTCTCATACATATACTATTTAATAAAAATGTGTGTGTTATTTTGATCCTTATTTTTTGTTTCTCATTTTTTTGAAAAATAACTACTATGTATACTATAAAATAAAATCCAGTAAATTAAAGTATCAGACAATTCAACAATAGAACAGAATAGGTAATTATAGACTTTTAAAGATAACAATTTTTTGATTTTTAATTTTTTTTTATGGAGGGCTTCCATACTTTTGTCTATGCAGTGTGTGTATACAGTGTCCACTGAGGCTAGAGAACGGAGTTGGGTACCCTGGCACTGGAGTTGAGCCAGCATGTAGGGGTTGTGAATCCAACCTGGATCCTCTGCAATAGCAGCTGATGCTCTTAACCACCAATCTCCAGCTCTACTTGTAGAACTTTAAATGAAAAGTTGTATCATTTTTTTCCTACATCTAATTCTCTTAGATCTTGAGGCCTTCAATTATATTGAAAATCTTTGCTTCTGCATGAAGTACAAATATAATTTTTTAAATGACGTGTCCAGTAGGGTTATAGCATATATTTTTAAGTATCATATATTATACATAATTTTAAAAATAAAAGCTATGTTTGGCTTTTCTTTTTGTTTTATTCCATGCTTCTTTCCCATGAAAACAATGATATACCACTTCATCACTATATCTTCTTCAGAAAGACTTTGAAACTATAACAATCAAAATTACATAGTACTATGGTAAAAAGGGACCACTCAAAAGGAAATGTTCTAAACACATTGTATGTTATGTTAGAGTAATTTATAAGATCACAAGAATTAAATTAATTAAATTTATTAATCTCAAGATTTAAATTAATTCAAAATGACATATATTTCAATTGCTATAAACATGGAAAACCCACAGTCTATTGTAGGCTTTGACAAAATAAATAAATTTTGCACCCTTGAGAATAAGTTCTACACAACATTTCATTTTCATTTGTAGAAGAGTATCTGTTTTTTAGCTCTACTTCTATTTTGAAGACTTATAAAGAGAAAATAAGTCAATATATTAAAAAAAAAACAATACAAAGCAAAAAAAGAAGTGTTACCTCTGGTCCTTTTTTTCTTCCCCACTTTACAGAGAAGATGTCTATACTAAGAAACTTAAAATAAATAACAAGGGGAAGGGAAAGAAGACATGTTGTTCAGTGCTACAAAAGAGAAAAATGATTTGCTCTATTCCAGGGAGAAAACACGTTAATAAACTAATAGATCAGGGAACAATTAGTATTACTTTCTACAGTAAAAATCGAGGTACTAACCAGTTAGTTAACATGTGTTTTTGTTTGGTTTGCACATACTTTCCTCCATTTTCTCATAAATAATTACAGTAAGCTTCTCCATTTAATCTGTTGATCATATTCTCCACCCTGCAGTATTTCTTCCACCAATCACCTTGTAATTTCTGGCTTCAACTCTCCTGTTACTTTAAATTTAAGTGGGGTACTTGAATAGTTGATGGGTGTTTTCATAATGGCTTGTTGAACTACTTAGCTCCTGATTTGGTTTACTCTTCTTTCATAGGGGAGTAATTCATAATGCTATTTCCCTTTTTTCTCCTTGTCTTCTTCTTTTATAGTGCTGCTTCAATTCTTTTTTAGTTCAAGTTAAGTTTTTTTTGGAAATAGCTTTCGTTATTCAGTTCTTTGTGCCTCACCCCCTTTTTATTAGTTCAAATATAGTTTTCATGTTTACTTTATCAGTAAATGGAGCATCTTTTTTTTTTTTCTTCATGCTCTGGATTCATTGCTTTATGAGCGTTCTACTTCTGTTTTATTTCAAGGTCAATTAACTGTCTTTTTTGCTTGTTCTTTTCTGCATCTCCTTTTCAGAGAACTGTCAGGTTTTTTTTTTCAAATTTGATTTTTAAATTATTAGTGTGAATATAATCACTGTGATTAATTTTTTGTAATATCTGCTCAGTTCAAAGGTTTTCATTTTCTTTTTTCCTGTTTTTTGTCTTAGTTCTCCAATTTGTTTGCTTGTTTCTCTATTTCTAGCTTATATTCTTGTTCTTTCTCTGTTCATCGTCTTTTGGCTTTAATGTTTCTTCAAATTTTCAGTTGTACTGGTATACAAAATTATTTCAAACATCTCTGGAATCACTTAATATGTTTCTTCCTTAAACAGATCTATCTTTTCTTCCTCTGGTCTCCTTTTAGTCTGTTTCTCCCTTGTTTTTTTCTTTTCTCCTTTTGCCTTTCTGTCTTGTCAAAACTTAGTCTTGAGTTTTTAGGGCTGTGTGATTTTTGTATTTATGTGTTTGTGTGTGTGTATGTTTGTTCTTCTCATCATCTACAATTTTTTGTGCTAGCATCTTTAAAATACACTTCACTTTAAATGTCATGTTTCTTCTTTACCTCGAGTCTTTCAGTTTTCCTGTTCTTGTTGCTGTGGTTCTTCAGTTTCTTTCTTCTTTCTTTAGATCTTCAAAATTATATTTTCTTGATACATGACTTAATAGGTGCTACTGTTAAAAACAGTCAGTTGTCTTCTTCATCTGATGATGGTTCTGTCCCTGTATTATAGTCTTAATTTGCTCAGGTCCATGTTTCTTTTTTATAAAAGCACTTCCTGCTCACTACTACATGATCAGTCCTCCTTGATTCTTTTGAGTTATTTCTGATTTTCTTTCTCCATTTTAGCAAATTTATTTTTAAGCTACCCTGTCACCTTCAAGACTGAATTTTTTTTTAGAAGATGTCTCTTGCTAATTATGAGGAGAAACATTTCTTTTGTGAAATATTCATGCTTTCTCTATGTGGTTTCGGGCTGATGAGGCTTTGTACATCTTTATACCCACCCAGTTCATAATTCATCATTGAGGGAAGTTGTGGCAGGAACCAGAGTGGCACTGCTTGGGTGATTTATGCTCCTGTAACTCCCTCTTCATTTTCTAATCCCTTATTAACATAGAGATTACTTTGCAACTTGCCTACAACTGTCACATAACATTGCAATATATTTTTCTATCTTCAAGATCATTGTATTATCTAATCATATTTTTAATACTATCTTTTACTCATTTTATTGTTCAGCTAATGATCCACTTCACACCCCTCTTTTTTTGTTTTTTAGGACAAGATCTTGCCTTGTAGCATAACCTAGCCTAGAACTTGCCTGCCTTTTGTCTCAACCTTTTAAGTGTTGAATTACAGGAATACTTTTTAGATTACCTTCCCCCTTACCTTATACATTAGAGACATTGGTCTTTGTGATCAATTTACAGTATTTTCTCCACATCATCGTTATTTATCTTTACTTACTAGGGTTTCTTACCAAGTGAAAGGTTTTATCAATTTACTTAACAATTTATTCCCATTATTCTACTTTGATCTGCATTTCTTCAGTTTTGAATATTTTGTTTTAGCTCCTTTCCCCTTCTGATTCCCTACCTCTTTCCTTGCTTTTTGTTTCTAGACTGTCGTCAAATTGAAATGTTAAATGTTTGTCAAATAAAAATTACTAGACTTCCACCTTGGCTTACTTCATTTATGAATCATCTTTTATTTCTAGAGTTGCTATACATTTGCCTCAGAATTTTCAAGTGTTACTGTTTCTGGTTCATGTTAGAGTTTATATTATTCACGACTCAGTGTTTTGTTTTGTTTTTTTACATAATTTCATATGCCGAAAAGCCCTTAAGTCTCATTTGCAGAACTTTTTATAATATTCCTATTTGAACTTAAATTTTTTGTAATCATTTATTGTTTTATATATTTTCTCCCATGGACCTGCTGTTAGTAAATGTCACAGGGTAGCAAAGCATACTACAGTCACTTTAAGTGGTATCTCTGTTGAGAGAAAACTTTTTACTGCCATTTCTTTAAGATTTGGTTCTGCTTTATGTGATTCAATGCCTTTTAACTTTTCACTTATATCTTTTTTTTTTTAATTAAAATCCCTTCACCAAGCATACCTATTCTTTTTGAAAAATTTTGTCAGCTCTTCAGAACTTCCAGTATTTACAAGTTTTTTTGTCCTATTTTGATCCCTAACTGTGCTTATCTTGTATATGATTTCTCTGCTTTAACTTTTGGGATTTATTACTTGAGTTTCCAATTATATTCTCAGCATAGATTACAGATATATTTATTATACTTTTCTCTTTTGGAGAAGAACTTGATAGATTTTAGATTGAGGTTTTAGAAATGTGAATAGGATATTGAACATTTGGTGTTTTCTTCTGAGGTTTCTATATACAGGTATTTTTACAATAAAGTAAATTTTAAAAAAGTCACACTTAGCATTAGGAATACAGAAGTATGTAGAGTTTCTGAGCAAAAGAGTTATATTAATATTTATCCTACATATAGTTCTTACAAGATATAAAATCTGGCTGACTAAAATTCACCAAGTGTAATAATGGAATATTTGTTTACATTTATTTTTCAAAATCTAAATCTGTTTTCACAAGTTGAGTTAAGAATGAGTTAGAAGAATGGTAAATGAAATATATTCTAGAGGAAATTGTCATTTTTAATAATCACTATGACATTGTCCTTAATGATGTTGTACTGTGAACTTGTCTATAGTGAATGTCAAATTAAAACCAGTATTGTATCTTTTCTCATTAGGGAGTTCTGGGAAGTTGTTCATTCGTTTACAGATGAACAGAAAAGACTCTTTCTACAGTTTACAACAGGCACAGACAGAGCACCTGTTGGAGGTCTGGGAAAATTGAAGATGATCATAGCCAAAAATGGCCCAGACACAGAAAGGTAATATCAAAGTGGAACTCTGTACCCACTGTGAAACTTTCTACCATATTGCATAAATGCAAACAGAGTCAAAATTTAGCCTCTATGTATACTTCTTATGTTATAAAGAAATATCCAGGTCAGCAAACATTAGTGGAATGATTAGTTTGCATTCAGGATTTGAGGAAATTTTTTAAAATTGATGTACTTAAAAAGTAATTATGGAGCTTACAGAAGTACAAACTTTATCAAGTTGTTCTGTTTTATTCCTCCATTGCTTTATAGTTTATTAAAAAAGCCTTATAGAACAATCAACTTTGAATGACTACACTAAAATTTAGAGGATTGTGTGTTCTTTTAGATTATACTAGATTCTTATTCAATAGTTAAATCATTTTGACTTTTGATTGTATTCTTTCTCAATTAAATACTTCACTATTTTGTGGTGGGCTGAGCAGTATGTTCTAGATAGTATGCTGACTTGGGTGTACATGGACAGATATTTTTTCATTACTGTTAGTTACATATTATTTTATATATCATGTCTCTTAATTTTAATTATTTTGTATCCAGTAATTATCATTGTCATTTTTGCCAGCAATATTTCTAATCTATATAAAGAACATAGACTTTATACTCTTTAAAAACTAGGTTTGAATATTGTTTAGTAACTTCAGCTTTTAAGTGGGTTTAGTAATATATTAGTATGTTTGTTTGATGATTTAAATGACCTTCATTGGTAAAGTATCTAAAGCAATAGGTAACTCAATTGATATAAAATGTTACTATCATCAGCACCACTTTAATATTTGCATTATCTCAATAATGGATAAATACCCAACTGGTCTTTGTAGCTAAACATCACAATGTTCATGATTTATTTAATCTGTAGTTTCTCATTACAAACCATACTAACAAGATATGCATCTAATAGAAGCATTTAACATTGAGCATATTTCCAGTGACTTATGATTTTCCTGTTTTTCCCTTTCTCTCTATTTAGGTTACCTACATCTCATACTTGCTTTAATGTCCTTTTACTTCCGGAATATTCAAGCAAAGAGAAACTTAAAGAGAGATTGTTGAAGGCCATCACATATGCCAAAGGATTTGGCATGCTGTAAACAAAACAAAAAAAAAAGAAAAAAGAAAAAAAGTTAAAAAACAATAAGTATAAGAGGGATAATTTGATGGTAATAGTATCCCAGCATAAAAAGGCTGTAAGATAGTGAACCACAGTAGTCATCTATGTCTGTGCCTCCCTTCTTCATTGGGGACATTGTGGGCTGGAACAGCAGATTTCAGCTGCATATATGAACAAATCCTTTATTATTATTATAATTATTTTTTTGCGTGAAAGTGTTACATATTCTTTCACTTGTATGTACAGAGAGGTTTTTCTGAATATTTATTTTAAGGGTTAAATCACTTTTGCTTGTGTTTATTACTGCTTGAGGTTGAGCCTTTTTGAGTATTTAAAATATATATACCAACACAACTATTCTCGCAACGGAAACATTGCCACCATTTGTAGACCATGTTATCTTCAAGTATGTGCTATTTTTTTTTTTTTGTCCCTGTATCTAAGTCAAATCAGGAACTTTTTTTCTGACAGTTTGCTTTTGAAACTTGAAGTCGAGTAAACAGTGTGGTGCAAGTACTGCTGTTCTAGCCCCCAAAGAGTTTTCTGTACAAAATTTTGAGTATCAATAAAGATGAAAGGGAGAGCTTGGAATGTTTGAACCACAGCCCTCAGAACTTTAGTAACAGCACAACAAATTAAAACAACTCATGCCACAGTATGTTGTCTTCATGTGTCTTGCAATGAACTGTTTCAGTAGCCAAGCCTCTTAGTATATGTAAGGACAGGGATTTTTGTTGTTGTTTCTGTTTTTGTTGTTTAAGTTTACTGGGGAAAGTGCATCTGGCCAAATGATAGGATAGTCAAGCCTATTGCAACAAAATTAGAAAGTTTGTTGTATAAATGAGCATGTAAAAGTGCACTTAAAATGAACCTTTATTATTACCGAGATTTTAAATAGACAATCCAAAGTCTCCCCATCTGTTGCCATCATCTTGTTTAATCAACTGTTTTTCAAGGCACTTGATCAGTGTTGCAGCATAACAGAAAGTACAGCTACTGTGCCTTGTGTTACTTATGTACACAGTAAACAGGCCTGTAAGTGAATGGAACTAGTACTCCTGCGAATTAAATTGTATATCCCCCAAATTAAAATTTACTTTAAAAGTGTTAAAGATTTCATGTCCTATATTAAAATACAAATAGGCTTAAATTACTGGATATTTAATGTAGTTTCCCATCCCTAGTCTTCTATGTCTGTGATGTTAATTTCTTTTGTTGCGTAACAAAATAAAAGAATTATGTATTTTTAACTAAGGAGAGACATACTGGTATATCATTTTACTACAAGCTACAGATAACCTGTTGAGCTTGTACCTTGATTGTTCTACAACTAGTGTAAATCAACCTGATGTTTTAAATTGGCAAGGGATAATTGTAGCTTTAAAATCATTGGAAGGGGAAAAGGATGTCTTTTAGGATTATTTTCATTCTTGTAGTAGTTGAGATAGAGCTATTATTTACTGTAATGCTAAATGAAACAGTGGCTTAAATACTTTAATGGGAATAGAGAACACAGTGTGTTCCATATTGTGATATGGTAACGTGAGTTTTTTTCTGAGCTAGCCTTTAGAGCACTGTTGTGGTATGTATGCTAACTTGATTATAGGACCCCCTAAAATGTGACTATAGCCATCTTAATGGGCATCTCATCCACTGTGCTTCTTATGTATTATGAAAGTGATAAGAAGACAAATTAAGTGGGTATATTTTATAAAATAAATTCATGAAGAGATTTGTGTTCTTCAGTTCTCAAGTTTATTATCACTACAGTATTGAAGTAGTTGTGATACTATATCTGTGTGAAAATTTTCAAATGATAATATAGATTATCAAACAGAAATAACATCAATATATTTAAAAGAAAGTGAAAAAAATAAACCTAAAATTTTTTCAGTGGTAAAAATACACTCTCACTTGCTTCCTAATCAGTTTTTCTCAGCATGTTACAACGTTATTATGGCTGCCTTTTCATCATCGCTTTACTAGATTGTCATGGAACAATACTTACGAGTTAAAAAAAATACTTTTTAGTATCGTAGAACACTTCAAACTTATGGCATAAAAGCACAGCCTGCAGCAAAACTTTTCTGAAGACTTGGCAGCTGCAGCAAACAAATTGAGTGTCTGATTGTACATATTGTGGTCTATAGTTAATTGTGTGATCAAATTAATTTACAATAACCTTACCTTTATTTGGAAATACATCCCTGTGTAGGAATGTATATATCAAAAGAAACCTATAAATGAAGCTTCAGAGAACTTGTTCTATTAACATGTGGCACATGCATTGCTAGGCAGCATCACTCCCTGTTTCCATAAGGTGGCTATGCTGAAATCCACCTCTTTAAGAATTTTTTTCACAAGAATCCGCATAGCCTAGAGAAAGAGGTGTTTTACTGAGGCTACTCTTTATGATGTTGATCCTTTAACTGATTATCCTAAGGCATACTTTTATCCTTTCTACACTTCCCAGGGCCCCCAGAATAAAATAATAATAATAATAATAATAATAATAATAATAATAATAATAATTTCCATTTGCTGCTTATCTTTTCTTCTCTTACCCAATGTCAGAGTGTAAAACAGTCCCTAGTGTTTGGTGAGGAAAATGTTTACTCAATACACACAGAGGCTTTTTTTTTTCTCTTCTACTTTCAAATCAGAAAATTGACTTTGGTAACATTTACAAGAAGATTTGGGTGCATCTATGCACTTCATTTCACTATGTAAAGGCTGCTAATCCAGTAATATTTCACTGAAAATGTACTTGCAATGATACTAATGGTCTCCATTTGCCAGAGTAAAGAACTCTTGTTTTTAACTCTTGATAGCCTTGCAGAGTTGGGCTACAGTTTGGTGAAAGGCTCACTTTCCATCCTTAGTCATAGACACCTTGTGTGAATACTCTCCTATTTGTACTTAAAAGGATTCCTCTGAACTTCCTGTTCAACCTTAGTAATTCCCAAAGATTTTTCTCTCGTCTCAAATCTTGTAGGTCTCATATCTCATATCAAATCAGACCTGTATTTACAGGACATGATCTTGGTACCTTAAAGTCAATACAGTGCAGAACAGTACCTATAAAAACAAAATTCTTAATATTGTATGTCCTAGCCATTTCTTGTTACTTCCTTTAAAACTGCCAATTTTGAGGCCTAATGAGGTAGCTTAGTGGGTAAAGGTGCTCACTATATAAAACTTAACCTGAATACTCTGCCTAGACCCCACATAAACATGGAAGGAAAGAACAACTCCACAAAGTTGTCCTCTGACATTTCTACATGTACCATGGCTTTTGTGCATGTGCATGCATGTTGTCTCAAACCTAAACTTATTCAGTTGAGCTTTATTTCAGGCCCCAATTCTTTGATTTACTCATTTTATCTTCCTAATTGAACTGCTTCTACTTCTTTGCATCCTCATAAAACACATTTTTTCTGGTTTGTATGAGTACTTCCTCTTTGAATAAATTGTACAGATGGATTTCTGCATAATTTTCTAGTGCCTCCTGTTCACCAGCATCCCCTTACATCCCTACTCAAAATTCCTTTACTTAGATTTGCTATATTCAACTCACATACTCTTTCAGTTGCAATTTTGAAAGTACCATGCTCATAAAGATTTCTATTAGTTACAGTGTGCCTCCACAGTATACTAGCAGCCTACATATTCCTGGTCACAGCCTTGTGAATCACATTGGAACAGTTGAGGAGGCCTTCAGAAGTGTCTACCCTTCCTTCTTTGCTGTGTTTTAGCTTTGATACTGTCCCGTTATTATTTTTTTAAACATCTTTCTTGTATGGAATCTGAGTAAATTCACAGTGCAAATTATCATATACTAATCTTTCTGTCTCTTCGGCAATAGGCTGATAATCATTTATCAAGAAATATAAATATATATTTCTTGAATAGATTTTCTGGAATCATTGTATCATACATATCAGCTCCTGGCAAAAGAAATCAGTGAGTTGGAAAAGACAAGATGGTTGAAAGCAAGACAGTTTTGTAGGTCTATACCCTGTCTTCAGGTATACTCTGACAATCTGGACCTGACACTTTCCCTTATTCCAGCAGGCATGGCAACTGATACCTTAAGTCGTTCTGCTATTACTGACTAGTCCCTCAAATTTTCATGGAGGAATCCTCCAGATGCTATTCTCTGTAAATGTATGTATAGTGAATCATATTTAACATTTTCTTAGACTTTGCTAGTCAAAATCCTGTAAATTCTGATAAGAATTTTCAGTGACTGCCAAATACCTGTGCACATGGTCCTTCATTTTCACAAAACAGATCAGTCACTGTAACTTGAGAGGTTATATACCTTACCAAAAGTCATACAGACAGGAAAAGGGATGACAAATGGTAAGGGTAGATCCACATGACCACTGAAAATTTGTCATCTTCCTTTTGGAAAAACAACTAAATTAAACAATAAACTAAAATTCTTAGGCTGACATGCATGGAACCTGGCATCATCCTGATTTTCTGTTTCCCAGAAACACATAGAAACTGAAAGGGAATGTATCTGGAATATAGTACACGGCTGAGGTTGTAGCCTTAAGTCAAATAAATCTGAGTTTTTAGTTTTGGACCTGCCATTCTATTGACTCGATTGTACCCACTCTTACCTTATCTCTGGTGGTGTGGTTTCAGTGAAATTAGCATGCAGATGGTAGATAACATCTTGGAAGACATCCTGAGAGCAGTTCTCCCATCATTTGCTTGTTAACTTAAAAAAAAAAAGATTGGAAATGTCTGTAATAAAGACATTATCGTCTACCTTTAAACGGTAGAGATGTGTTTTCACACATCTTTGAGAGATAATTCACATAGTATAAAATTCACCATTTTAAAAAGTGTAAAATTTGTGGTTATAGTATATTCACAGAGTTGTGAAATTGTCTTAATATAATTCCTGAGCATTTTCATCGCTGTAAAGTTTTCTGTACCTATTAGGAGTGACTGCCTGTTCTTAACCCCAAACCCTGAAAACTACTCATCTTCATATGCCTATGAATTTGCTTATTTTGGACATTTCATGTTAATGGAGTCATACAATATGTGGCCTTTTGTCTATTTCGCCACCTTCCCCAAAGTATTGAGTTCAAACTGCATCCATGTTGTAGCATGTGCTGATACATTTGTTGTTGTTGTGGCCGAATATTGTCATTGTATTGTTAAACTGTATTTCTTTTTTGGCTTGTCCATTTGGTTGTGGACATGTATGTTCTTTCTGCTTTTTACATATTGTGAATACTACAACTATGAACACTTTGTGTACATGTTTTCATTTCTCTTATGTCTTTTAAGCATCTTATGGTTTTAGTTCTTAAATTTATATCTTTGATCCATTTTTGCATGTGGTGCATTGTAGGGATCCAGTTAATTGTTACAAAGACTAATAATAATTTATGAGTGGGCTTCGTATCCTTGTCAAAAACACATATAAGTGACCATAAATATGGCTAATGTTGGACTCTTCAACTTTATTCCATTGTCCTATGTGTCTCTCTTCATAAGCCAGTACTATACTGTGTTAATTACTGCAGCTCTATAGTAAGTTTTGAATTTAGGATGTGTTAGTTCTCTAGCTTTGTTCTACATCAAGATCGTTTTGCCTATTCTGGGTCCCTTGTATCCCACATGGATTTTAGGATCTATTTGTTAATTTCTACATAAAAAGCACCTGTGATTTTGATAGTTTTTGTGTTGAATTGATACATCAGATTGACGTATGTGGTATTTTAACAGTATTAAATTTTCTAATCTATAAACATGGAGTGTCTTTCCATTTATTTAGGTCTGTAATTTCTTTCAATGCTGTTTTATAGATTTCAGTGTATATACATCTTGGCTTTTTTGGGTTGTTTTTCACTTGATGCTAATTACAAACAACTGTTTTTAAATATTTGTTTGAATTACTCATTGCTGCATCTAGAAAGAATTGGTTTTTGTGCATTAACCTTATATACTATAGTAGCTATTCTGAGCTGATTCTGTTTTTAATTTTTTTTTATAAAAGATTGTGCATTTGTGAATATAAATACTTTTGTTTCCTCTCCAATCTGGATTCTTTTTATTTGATTTCCCTGCCTAAGTGCCCTGGCTAGCACGTCCAGTGTAATATTAAATAGAAGTGGCAAGAGTGTACATCTTTTTCTTGTTTCTGATTGTAGTGGGAAAGCATTAGGTCTTTCACCATTAAATATGATGTTAGCTGTGGGATTTTCATAGATGTTGCAAGTTGAGAAATATTCCATCTATTCCTACCTGACTGAATTTTCTTTTTGATTAAAAAACAACGGGGATGTTGAATTTTGTCAAATGCTTCTGTATCCAATAAGGTGGTCATGTAGTTTTTGTCCTTTATTCTATTGATACATTGTATTACATTGATGGAATTTTGTATTGAACGAACCTTGCATTCCTGGAATAACCCCACATGTCTATGCTACATAAACCATTTTCTATGCTGCTGGATATGGTTTGCTAGTATTTTGTTTAGCGTATTTCCACATATATTCATAAAAGATACTAGCCTGTAGTTTTCTTGTTATCTTTGTCTGGTAGCTGTCAGGGTAATACTGACACTGGTCTCAAAATATGTCTGGAGCTTTCCAGCTGATCTTAAATCCAGCGAGGTTTGTTTAAAATGATATACTTTGAGAGTTACTCTGTGGTCTTTAGATTCTGGATGACACGGGAGAGGTAAGACATGCCTAAAGTGCATTTGACAGCTGAATAAAATGCAGTTAACAAAAAATTGGGTTTAGGTGAGTGTTTCTCATGAGCCATATATACATCATTATTATAAAGTATTAACCATCCGCTGTTTTCAAAATTACCCTACACAAGTTTTCTTCCCTTGTAAGCCTTACACTTGAAAGCTGAGAGTCATCCAGTAAAGAAGCTTTCAGGGTAGGAAGCATTGGAAACTTAACAGCCAAGCCAGGTGGGATTGCCAAGAAGTTACATTCTTGAAATAAAGTTGTTAATAAATACACTGCTCCCCACTACCACTTGTCATAACCCTAACAACTTGATAAGTAAGACAATATCTTTGTAATGATTCCTTGTAGTGCAGAAGTTCCCTAAGTACCTGGTAAAATAGGTAAGGAGGGAGTTTGAATTATAGGAGGGCCTGAGCAGGAGGAAGACTTTTGTCTTCAATTAAGAGTTGGTCATTTTAATGTTTCACTGTTATGGCCTATTTAGGCTGTTTAGTACTTGTAAAATTTAAAAAAAAAAAAGTTTCCTGAATATGAACAGGGAAATCTTAAAGCTTGAGGTTTCATCACTAGAAAAACTCAGAGACCATGTTTAAAAAAAGACTTGTTCTGTACCCCACCTGTACTACACATACATAAAATATGCATCATTTAACAAAGCCAGACCTATATAAAGGAGTTAAAAAATATGGAATAATACCTAAGAAGAAGAAAAATCTCTGTAGTAAAGATTTTAAAACTTGCTTTTGTCCTAACAAAAGTTTGAAATTTTCATTAACACTTTTTAAGTACTATTGGGTGTTTGCTGCTTTGCAGGTTTGTGGATGCTTCAGATCAATTCAGAACTGCTTTGCTCAGTTAAGGTGTTTTACACAGCGAAGTTCTAATTGGGATATATATGTGGAAACCACAACACATTTATAGAAGGAATGTATAAATGCACAGTTTAGACTGAGAAGTAAGGTCCAAAGACTATGATGTGGTAAAGGATTGGATTGTTATCAGGCAGAAAAGAAGAGCATTTTAACAGGTTGAGTATCGGGTTTTGATAGGCAGGTGGGTGTGATTGGGCAGCTATACAGATCATGGTGGGCCTTGCAGACTTCAGATTTTATGTAGCATATCTTAAAAATGGGAAAATAAATTCATACTTCTATTACCATATGAACTATTCTTCTATTACCATATGAACTAGAAAAGCCTAAGTGTCCGTATATTCTTTGCATTTATGAGATTGTTGCTATAATTCCAAAAAGATGCAGCATGATAAAAGAGAAGATAAAAGAGAAGAGCATGATAGAGAAGACTTGAGAACAGATTTCATATTGATATGAATGATGGATAATGGTGCTGTTGGGTTTTCAATGGGACAGATTAGGCAGGGGAGCTGTAGTATGCTCAATTACATTCTTTGTATAGTGTCTGGAGTTATTCAAGGGGACTTCTCCCACATCAATAAAAGGTAAGTCTAGAGAGAATTCTTCACCAAAGGTGAAAATGAGTGGCTCTAGCATGGCGGTCATCTTTACTATTTCTCTACAGTAAGTGAAAAGTCACGAAGAGAGACTACCAAGGACAAAGTTATGGAATTACTGTCCTTTGAGAGTTACACAAAGAATCCACATTAAAGGGAAATGAGAAAAAGGAACTGTTTTGCTTGACCCTATCTGTGTTCCACTCGGTATATCAAGCTTCACAAGATTAGGGAATATGTAACTGCCTTATGGATCTGCATCAAAATATGAAGATACTTTTTGGAACCATATAATGAGCAGACTGTCTTAGAGTTTCATTTCCATCCTCCTTACAATCTCCCATATGACTAGCTAAATACCCTCCACTCCAGTCTCAATTCTCATCATAGCTTTTAAGTAACCAGATCTACATGTACCTTATAAAATCTAGTTCGCTAAATCAAAGTATTTCTAATAATTGAAATATTAACTCTTAAAATAATTGTCATTAGTTTTCTCTTTGGGTCCCCTTACTACTCCTCATAGAGCTGTTTGACTCTTCTTAGTGGATCTCAAAAGAGCACAGTACTAAGTTTTTTTTTTTTTAAATGGGGGATGGGTCGGGGAGACTTAGGGGATAGAGCACAGGTCCCCATATAAATTAGGCAAGTGCTTTTCTGAACTACATCCCTATCCCCTCTAATTTATTTTATTGAAATCAAAAAGGCTTCTCCAAGAAATAGCTAGCTATGGAAGGAGATATGCTCAAGATAAGATTGTGCAGAAGGGTTCTAAGTTTCTAACTAGATGATACACATTTTGAGTAGTAGAAATTTGATTATTATGCAACTACATTTTAGAAGTTATTTCCAAAACTCTTACCTACTCCCACCAAGAACACCAAATATAGTATTTAGGACCAATATATCTGTTTGCCTTGTTTCTCTGACTATATATCATAGTTTTTACAGGTCATCTGTATTTGTATGTATTTGTGTATTTACTTTAGTTATTGCCTCAGTTTCTCAGTGATTTGTCCTAGAGTAGAAATGGTTTCACTTTTTTTTTAACTTTTTTTTTAGCCTCCAATGCCCAGGCTGTAATACATCTATCGAATGCATGTATAGATGAAATGAGTGCAAAGACAAAGGTCCTGGTTAGCCAAGCAGACCATACATGCAAATTTCTACAATATTACCAAATAAAAAGCTAAGAAAACATCATTACAAAGATTGTTCTTGTATATGAGAAAACATCCTGGATGCAGCTTTACTACCCGTTCAGATACTCCTTACATCTTTCCACTGTGGAGGGAAAACACAATCCTGTACTGGTCATAGGGCCACACCTGTATGGGAAGGCCACAGAAGGAAAACCAGCTTGTTTCTCATTTATTCCTTAGATGATGGTGGGTAAATACATCATGTTTTTACATGTGACTTTAAACCATCCGTTCATTACTTTGTGACTCTTATTCCTTCAAGTCCTTTAATTTCCATTTGTAAACCCATTATTTATGTAAGGGTATTTTTTGCCTTTCATCTCTACTATCTTCTTTTGTTTCTACATAACCAACTCAGAAGTGTAAATAATAAAATGAAAATAATCCGTGTGTAATTGTCACATACAACAGCACTTTAGGGGACATAAGTCTGTAGTTATGTGTCTTTTTAGTTATCTAGTAAAACTTTAAACTTCCAGTTCTTTAGTGATGAGCTTAGTTGTGTGAATTCAGGTTGGGGTTTTTTGTTTTTTGGCTTTTTTTTTTCTGTCATACCAGGTAATATTTCAGTTACATATCAGTTATGGCAAAAAAATTTGGAAAGTTATTCTATAAAATAGTAGTTCTTATTTCTAATGGAGGATTAGCATTTTATGCCTTGTTCATTAAAATTTGTGTGTGTTTGTGTGTGTGGGTGTGCATGCATTTGTGGGATCCACTGATAGTCATTGATGCCATGTGTAAATCACCAAGAAACTTTTCCTCCTATTCTATTTCTCAGACTGTCTCAAACTCTCTAAAAAACTAGCAGTGTGCTCTTGTCACTTTTATTAAACAGTGTATGCCTGAAAATTTCTGCCTCCTGTTGTAGCATATCAATCATCATTCTTCTGGAATTTCATATGTAGACACCATTTTGCCAGAGTTGGTTCTCTATTGTATGGCTTCTGGGATTAAACATACATTGTGAGGTATAGCGTGGCAAGTCCACTTCCATGCTATACCATGTCACTGGGTTTGTCTTTTAACTATTACTAAATGTATTGTTCTAGAATGTCAGAAGGGAAAATGAAAAAGCAGAAGGAGAAGGCAATTCATTTGTCTCATTGCGAACTGAGCTTTGTCCTTTCTGTCTGCTGTGGTGTAGGGAGAGGAATAGAGGTGAGCCTGCAAAGGGATACTTAAGGAAGGTGAGCAGAATGCTGGAAGGATTCCTAGTGAGTTAATATCTTCTTTGAAATTATGTTATAATTAGCATTGATAGCACTTAGGAAATATATAATCACACAAATCTGAAAGTTTTTTTATAAAACTCAACAAATGCCTAAAAACATTTCATCACCCTGGGAAGACACTAGTACTGTAATTTTCTTAAGCTCAGCTGACAGGGCGTGAAGACATAATTTGGATTTTGATCAAGTATTTCTCTTAAGTATGTGTGATAATTAACCTCAGATTCCTATTTTACAGGGAATGTTGGCAAGGGCTAACATCTAGCTATCATAAAGGTAACAGGAGAAGCAACAGCTTGGACTTTACATCTGTAGTATGTAAAAATAAAAGCTCCTTAACAGGAAGAAAAGCAAAGGCAATAAGGAAGAATTTTGGAGATGACCAGATATTTTAAGTTTGATAAACTAAAAATATAGATTTAAGATTACTGTATCTGAAAATCATGAAGAAAATTCACCAGTTTACATATCCCATTGCCCTAAATAGTAATGATAAAGAAATCTGATGTAAGATTCAAGTAGCAGAAAATGATGCAAATATGCATCTACTCAAAGAGCTGAGTAGGAATTTATATATGTATATATCACATATATCAAATCTGTAAGAAATAACAGTTCCTCAAAGTTACATACTATAGAGGTAATTCAAGTTATGCAGGTAATAAAAATCAAAGATGAGAAAAGATACCATTTTGTAACTTTTGTACACTGTTCAAAAGGTTGAAACCTGAAGTTAGACCAAAAAACATGTATGCTTTAAGCTCTAAAATACCCCTAGATCAAAATAGGCGAAGTAAATAACACAAGAAATTTAAAATGCAATCACACAAACTGGGCTTACCTC